CACTCTGATTTCCAAAGTCAAAGTCAATCAGATCCAAATCAGAGTCAAAATGGATGCCACACAGACAATAGTGGATAGAGTCGAACAGAGGGGCCTTAAGTGGTTTGGACAAGGTTTGGACACTTGCTACGCATGGAACACCAAAAACAGCCCTATCGTATCTACAGCTGGTCACCTCCTGGAAAAAGAAAAAGAGGACGGCCTAGAAGATCCTGGAATGAGGCCATCAGAACGACAATGGAGGACCGTAACTTGGAAGAGGAAGATGTTCTTGATCGTAACAGGTGGCGGTTAGGCGTGGGGATATGCGACGTTAGTCGCAACAACCCTGGGGTATATATAGATTTCTGTTTCAATGGCGAACTACCCAGATAGAAATATCATATACAGGGGTGTTCCAATGACATGCTAATATGTTTATGACATAATGACATGCTAATATATTTCATAAAGATATACTATGTAATAAATCTCAGAGTTATTATGAAAAGTTTTTTTTTAAATTTTCAAATTTCCAGATTAGGTCTAGAATAGGTCCAAGAATCACGCCCTTAAATATGAGCATGTCATTAAGGAACACCCCATAAATTGTATATTATGTTACAGTGAAAGTCGGAATTCAGTGATTGTTAACATTCACTAGAAAATGCTAGCAATTACGCATTGGAGCAGTGAATGTGGTATTTTAAAGACTTGTAGACTTTTTCCTAGTAATTTCTAACATTCGCCAGTAAAAGTTATTCTATTGCTCAGAGGGCGAGGAAGTTAATTTGGTGAAGAATATAAAATTTTTGAAGAATATTGATCACTTATTCAAGCTGATCCACATATCTTAAATTACAATTTGTTTCTTTAGTATTTATTAAAAATTGTAGAAAATAACGATATAACCTTCTAAATATTATAGGAAAAACATAGTAAACATTTTTAAAGCATACAAAATAATTAAAACCTTATAAACATATAATTACTTATGGACAAGATTTTAATAAAGTTCTTTCGTCGTGGACAAAATAAAATTGCCTGAATTTTCTTCAACGGGAGTTATTCGTTTTTTTCAAACCCGCTACATCAAGCATATCAAAGGTTTAATAAATTCATAGTCACTAGGTTCCTTAATATCTTTTTCTTTTCTGTATGCTTAACTTTTTGGTATAACGCAAAAAATGAAAACAAGCACTATTACATTCTTGCGAGTGCATAGTTTACCTTGGGATTTTCACAGAAAATTTCTTCCATATAGGGAAAATACTGCACAGCAGTTTTTACAACGATAACAAAACAATTATACATAACCACAAAAAACAAATCGAATTTACGCCAGATGTCAGTCAACGTTGCCAACGTTTAGCCCAATTTAATGTTGTCCTTATATTGCCTATTATTCAACTTATTCTTATTCCTTATATTTTACAACATGTGGTAACCGCACTAACTGAATCTTTCAACTCACTACTATCGTCCAGGGAATGCTAGCATTCACTAGTAAAAAGTTGGTTTCAAAAATAGATGTTTAACTTTTACTGGCGTAGTCTTACCAAATCAGTGAATTTTGCTTTACTAGTAATTATTGTTAACAATCACTGATTTCCAACTTTTTTACTGTAACATATATTTTAAAGGATTTATGAACATAACGAAGTGTTTTACGTTCGATTGAAAATGAGTCTGAGAAGGAGGGAGTGCAAGCATTTAAAAAAAACTGTATTCAGCGTCGCCCTAAAACGGGGGTGGTTGATACGAAAACAGCGGCAGTATAAAAAGGGCTGCCGCAGAAAAGAACAGAGAGCGGGGCAGGATCTTACGCGCAATTTAGCATTTTTAATTAGTGCGGTAGCTAGGGTGAAGATTTATATTTTAAAGTTGGCCGCCCCGACGTCTCGCGTCGGAGGGGAACAATGAAGGGCCGTCGGGGGAACATAAATAATGTTTGCCATTCCTATTAACAAAGAGAAAGAGAAGGATAGCGAGAGTATTTTGAAGGGCGGAATAAAGGACGCGAACTGATTAAGGGTAAGTTTGATTTTAAGATGTAGCTTGCGTTAATCCCGTTCTATAAATATTTTATTTGGTCTAATTACAAGTACGAAGCATGAATAATTAATTATTAATCTATTGTGCACAATTTGAGAATGTAGCGTCATTAAAGAAACTTTAAACCAAGATTGATTACTTCAGTTGACGCGGCTTGATTTTTTTCTTAAACCAGTACATCTCTCTATTTATTATCTTGGTTTGCTTCGAACCACTAACTCTATATTGTGCTCCATATATGATATATGGAGCACAAGATAGAGTCGCATATATGTCATATTGGCAAGCGAAGCCTTGGGTCGGTGTTTACATGTCTAGGAGTGAATCTAGAATCTATGAAGAGTATTTAAAAAAGTATTTATATCGGACGCTAGATTTCATGAGCTTGGGAAAATACTAGGGCTCGTCTTTCTTTATTTAGTACATCATGAGTACCTACGTCTTATTTTACTTCACGTATTGACCGTACTCTTTCGTGCACACGCAATCGGCACCCAAAATAAGAAAGGCCGACCTGGTATACCTATCTTAGTTTACAGGATTTTGAGGTGTCTCTGTTGATACATTTTTGATGTTTTGATCATCGTATTAGATATATAGGGTATCCCAGAAAAGTGCAAGTATTTACTGGGTGGTAGATCTCAAAAAAGAAACATGTTTTCTCTTTATCGTTTTTTCAAAGAAGTCCAAAATAACGGAGTTATTTTACTTTGAAAATTTCCAAAAAAATATTTTTTGCTGTATTCTGAGAACCACTGTTTTTTTTTTATTATTTCATTTTTTGTAAATTTAATCTAATACCTATGTTGCCATATTATCAAGAAATTATGTTTTTAACTAAAACTAAAAATCCAAATTTTTCAAAAAATTTCGAATTTTCAAAAATTTTTTTCGCGAAAAACCTCATAGGCGTGTTTCTGAGGCTGAAACAACAATACTACCAGTTAAAATATTTGCATTTATTTCTTGGGACACCCTATATATACATATAGTATATTATATAGAGGCAAAAATCTATATGACGGAACAAAAATTGCATTTCTAACAAATCTATCAAATAAAAAAATAGAAATATGAGAAATGCTTTCCAGCAAAATGGGTAACTAATCCGGAAACTCTAATTAATACTGCCAATTAAGGTCCAGATCTTTTTGGTCATCACAGAACCGAGCCTCGGTAACAATAATTAAAAAATATTTTTGTTACATCAAAACGGTCGAAATCCCTGTTCTAAATAAGTAATGAAGCTATTTCTTATGGTTCTGGTTTTCTCTTTGAAGTTCCTATAATATTTATTAATATGTTGTGTTTTAATAGATACTTACATTTTTAATTCAATATTTAGGTTAAAACTAAAATTTTATGCGAATACTGAATCATTGTCTACCATATTCAAAGTAATATTTTAGGGCATTAGTCTCAAATTCAGTTAAGTTGGTTTATATTGTTTGATGTGAAATTTAAGTTACATATATACTTTTTTCTTTACTTTGTATTATTGTATTCATGTTTGTGTTTGATTACTTAAAAATTTGATACTATTTTCCTTAAAAATCTCAATTTTTTATCCATTTTACTTTAAAAAACCATCCCTTGTTTTCTGATTGATAAACTGCACCACACCTGAACAAAATTAGTCAGTACCGAAAGTAACGAAAACTGAAATCCTGATTCCTAAGAGGCGGTGAATAAATTCCGGTTCCGAAAACAGCCCGGTTCTAAACCATAGTTGCTTGTATAGTATTGATTGTTTGATCAAAGTCGAGTTAGAAGACTTTTAATATCAAAGTTGCATCAATGTAAGCAGGCTGCCTTTCAACTTAATTGGATGCTACGAAACCGTCCAACTCGACTTTGATAAAAAGGTTGACACCATACCAAAGAGCGAGACGCACGCAACATCTATACATATAGGTAACACAATAGGTTTTTTTCGCGAAAAAAGTTTTGAAAAAAAAAATTTTTGTAATTTTTGAAAAATGTTTTGAGTTTTTAATTTTTAGTTAAAAAACATATCTTCATAAATATGGCAACATAGGTAGTAAATTTAATTTACAAGAAAGAAAATCCTGAAAATTTTTTTTTTTCTAAATAAAATACTTATCTCGATTATTTTGAACTTATTTGGATGGGCAAAGAGAAATTATGTTTCTTTTTATCGAGATCTACCAGTCCTGAAAATATTTGCACTTATTTAAGACTCACCCCTATATAATGGCAGCAACCGGTTGACTTGGCCCAAGTACACTTTAACCGTGTCAATCTGGCGTTGCAGATTTAATTGAAAGGAATATCAATAATATTGACAACAAAAGGAATATAACCAACCAAGAAAACAATAAAAAATCTGGTAACACCATCTTGTAGAACAAAAAAGTATCAATGTGAATGTGAAATTTACTTTGTTATATTTATTCAAATAGAACCACAAAAATAAAAATGAAATCAAGAATATTCGGTTTAGTTGCAAAAATGTTTGTGGAATTCATTTAAATTAGACCAAGGATTAGACTTAACTTAGATTAAAAAATAGCAGAAGTTGAAATTAAACAAAATTATCAATAACAATATACAGAAACCCCTGTTATCCGAGTAACGTGGGGGCATCCTCCCCGGATAACTGAAAGTGGATAATCCGATTTATTAAAAATAAGCACCAATACATACATTAAACGGTTTATTAACATTTTTAACATGTAAATACATATAAGTACCTACATATGTAGATACAATCTACATTTTAAAACAGTGAAATAAGTATCTATGCGCTGCTGTTTCATATTGCATCTTCTTTTTCTCGCTGCCATATTTCTCCTTCTGTTAAGAAGAAGCAAATCTGTTGGGGTTGCCTCTGATTGTTGTTCAATATACCTCAGAGCTGTTTCCAGAGAAGCAAAACCTTGATGGGTAATCTTAGTGGAAGACTGTTCATCCACCTCTTCGTCATAGTTATCGTCATCTGATTTTTAGGTTTCGCGAAAGGCGTTCGCTATTTCTTCAATAATCATTTCTTCTTCTAAATCATCTGCTGTAACCCATTCACCAACGTCTTGTCTTGTCACATTTTCGCAACCTTTCAAGTTTTGCATTAATTCTAATAAACTTTCTTCTTCTCCTGTCTCGTTTAAATTTGTACAGGACATTTCTCCACGGCTTTTCCATTTCAAAGCCAATTCATTTAATGGAATATCATCTTCACTGTCATTATAGTCCTCAATATCAATAACTTTCGACCAAGATTTTTGAATAGTGGAACTGCGTACAGAATCCTAAGTTTGACTTACTCCAGTAAATATTTTTAGTGTAATCTTTCTTATCCCAGTGATAATATCCTCTTTTTTTCTGTGCATTCTAGTAGATGTTCAAGATATAAACGCCTATATTTTTTTTTATCTTTTCGAGGACGCCCTGGTCCATTGGTTGCATTATACTGGTTACATTTGGAGGAAAAAAAATTACAATTTCGCCCACGTGGAGTCCTTCTCCAGGGTGAGAGGGAGCATTGTCCATTACCAAAATTGCTTTAATAGGGAGGCTGGTTCTCTTCAAAAATTTAGTCACAGATGGCACGAACTCTTCTTTAAACCAGTTAGTAAATAACGTCGCATCCATCCATGCACTCTTCTGACTTTTGTAATAAACTGGTAGGGCTTTGGGTGAGATGTCTTTTAACGCTCTTGGATGTGCAGACTTGTCAATCACCATAAGTGGAATTTTGTGATTACCAGATGCATTGGAACATGCCATTATGGTTAATCTTTCCTTACTTTTTTTGTGCCCAGGAGCTGATTTTTCCTGTCGAGATGCCAATGTTTTCGATGGAAGCATTTTATAATTCAAACCACTTTCGTCACAGTTATAAATTTGATCACATGTATATCCACAATATTTGATTAGCTTTTTAAAGTCCTGTTTAAATTTTTCAATTGATGACACATCAGCAGAAAGTTTTTCTCCATATATAGTCAGTTGTCGTACACCGTACCGTTTTTTTCAGCGGTCAAGCCATCCAGAACTGCCGGTAAACCTATCTGTCTCTGGAAATTGTTTACTAATCATTATTGCTTTCTGCTGCAATTGATCTTTGCTGAGTAAACCACGTAAATAAAGCTTCGTTAACTTTTTCATAGTCGCCTTTTTTAGGCTTGTTTTATACACCATTCTTCTATTTTAGTGCTGTTTCTGTTCCAATCTCCAACTGTTACCTCACCTACTCCATAATCCCGTGCAACAATTTTAATTGTCTCTCCTGCTTGAATTCTCCTAATGGCTTTTAATTTTTCTTCAATAGGAACGACAATTCTTTTACGTTTGTTTCGTTCCATTATAATACGGCAAACGAAAATTTAAACAAAGCAGTTGGTATACACTTAACTAGAACTCCACCCAGATAAATCAGTAACCCAGAGTACATACGTATACTACTTCTCCCTAGTGAACGCAATAATGAACTGCATTCACTCAAATTTAAGCTAAAAGAGTCCAAAAATATAAATAAGGGGAACCACTCACACGCGCCAAGGAGATTCCCCGTCGGTCCCAACGATTTTAAACGGAAATATGTAAATATACATATAGCATATTTTAGAAGCTCGGTTAATACAGAGCTTAGACGCGCGACCTCGGATAATCAAGGTCTTTAGATTGGATCGGTTAATCCGGAGGTCGTATAATTGCGACTCGGATAATTGGGATTCTACTACATTATATTTATTCAAAAAACCGATAGAAAGACTACGAGGTTTATTAAGAAACAGAACATTTCTAAAATAAGTTGCGCGCAGTTTACCACGCTGCAGTTATGAAGTTGCAGTTTCACTAGGTCGCTGGAGTAGAAAAACAGCTTGTAGCATGCTACTTTTGGCCTGTGTAAGAACACGACACAAAACTTTAGCAGCTACATCACAAAAACTGCGCACTAAAAAACAAATATGTCTGACATCTTTGTAGAATGTAGAATGATATGAGAGGGGGTTAATCTAGGGTTGGCCAATCGTCCTCTACTTCAGAGGACAGTCCTCTTTTTGATTGTACTGTCCTCTTTTCTCACGCGTATCGAAAGTCCTCTTTACAAAACCAACCTAAAAATCGAAAATGACGTCAATGCTTAGTACAATTGCTAATCTGGCAACAGCATTTCTTTTGCTAGCTGCATACTCTTTCATACAGAAAAGAAATATTTACTTACGTACAAGAAATATTGGTGGATGCGTTAGAAAGTAAAAAAGACCATTATCCGTATAATGTTTACCTAACTTTTGGGTAAATTTTCACTAAGAAAATATTTGTGCTTAATTATATTTTAATGACTGTGAGTAAAAAATATTTGAGAACGGTATATAAAAAGGACCATTTTTAAGATACTGCAATCTGACTAGCTAATTAATGAGCCATTTGGAAAAGACGAAAATTTGTCTTGAGGAAACCTGAATGAGCTTACTAGACGAAAATTTTAAAAATGGTTTTAATTTTTATATCTTCGTATCAAATGGCTTTTTGTCTGGAAATGGGACGCAAAATACACCGAAGCTATTTGTTGTTTTTTTCCATCCCGTTGGTGCTCCTGTTTCGGCCGTAACTTATTCCAGACAAACATCTTTTAAGAAGATCCGCCACGACGTCCATTTAAAACCTTTTTAAGCAATTTTAAGAATCTGGAAAAGCGTAGGCGTGGAAAGTAATTAATTAACGGAACATTAAGCAATCCATCAAGGTCTTTAATTCATTTGGCCTCCCTAAGAGTGCGCGGAGCGCTTTTAAAATTAAATCCAAGGCCATTACAAGAATGGAGAACGAGATGACAAACTAATCCGATGATTTTCTTTCGCTTTGTGCCTTGAAAGCCTTAATTTTTTCGTCGGCAGCGGATTTCAAAGAGAATTTTTAGCGAAAAGGTAAAACGTCTCCAGTTTAATGGAATATTGAAAGTCTTAAGTAAAATAATGTGGCACGTTAAAAATGTCTATAATACAGGAAGGAAATATTGAAAAACGGTTTCAATATGTGCACAATTCTTTTTTTTAATTAATTACAACACCTACTCTACAAAATTTTATCTATAGGCTCGGTCCTCGGTCCCATTGCTACCACCACCATCGGCACGGAGAATATCGTAAACAACCGGCCTGTACAAATACACAGATTTAAATAGTTGAGTAGATATGCGAAAGAAAGTTTATATAATTATTCTAAAAGTGTTAGAAAGTATAATTTGTGAAAATTCTAAAACTTAATATTTTCATAACTTCAGGCCTAACTTGTATTATAATTTACTAGTGTGCAAAAATTCCGCGACTTCGTTCGCGTCGAATTAATCATTTGTAATGGTGATGTTAAAGCAAAGCAAGAATTTCCTTTAAGATACAAACTGGATAAAATTTTCTCACATTTCTGTTAGCATGAGAAAAAAACATATGGCGATATTAATATATAACTTGGTAATATTTGAGGAGTAGTTTCATCTCGTTGGAATTTGACTTTCGAAAAATCCCTTTACCAAAAATAAGCTTTTTACGTCAAGCAGTTTAAGCAGAATTGTGGTTAATGAATTACCCAACTTTTTGGATCACCCTGTATGATTTTTTAAAAATTTCAAAATATGTAAAAAACAAAATAAATTATGCGTGTCCAAGCGTTTTCCCGAAAGACTAAAAACCTCTACACCCCACAGTCAATCCGTTTGCCAAAAATCAGCTTTAAACGTCAAGCAGTTCAAGCAGAATCGTGATTACTCAGTGGTCATATTTTATGAAACACCCTGTATAATTTTTTAAAAAATCTTAAAATATGTAAAACAACAAAATAAAATATACGTGTTTTAGAAAAACTCACTAGCTTTCCGAAAAACTCACTGGTTTTTAAATAAAAAATATTCTAATATTTGAGGGGTGATTTCACCCCCTTAGAATTCTAGTTTCGAAAAATCCCTTCTTATCGAACCTCTACACCCTAAAGTCAATCCGTTTTCCAAAAATCAGCTTTTTACGTCGAGCGCTTTAACCTGTATACATTTTTAAAAAATCTTAAAATATGTAAAAAAACTAAATAAAATATACGTGTTTAAGCGTTTTTTCGGAAACTTGACCTTTTTTAAATAAAAAATATTGTAATATTTGAGGGGTGGTGTCACCCCCTTGAAACTGGAATTTCGAAAATCCCTTCTTATCGAACCTATACACTCTAGAATCAACCTGTATGCCAAAATTGAGCTTCTTACGTTGAATGGTTTGAGCAGGATCGTGATTAATCAGTGAGTCAGTCACTTATACAGGGTGTTTCAAAACAAATGCGAAAAACTTCAGGGGGTGATTCCTTGTTCAAAATAAAGGGTAGTTTGCTTCATAAACGTTGGGTCAACAGTCAACCATTAGGGAGATATCGCGGTACAAAGATGGCGGAAAAATAATGTTCTTATTTTTTATCTTGAAAACGAAAAGAGATAGACTAATGAAATTTTATGGAAGCATTACTGTTATGAAAACACACTTTCTGGTAATTTTTTCACTTTTTTAAAATGAGTGGAAGGGGTTGAAATAAACTACCCCTATCATCATCGAAATTTAAAGAAAAATCTTATCAAACACATGCAAAAAAATTAATTTGGATAGTTTAGTTTGTTTAGAAACTTTTTTATCTCTTTTATTTTTTTATAAAACTCACCGATTTGAAATTAAAAAATAAAATGTAAAGTATTACATATCAGGACTAAAAATATTTTTAGATTAAGAATCTAGTGATAATAATGATAATAATCTAGATAATAACGTATTGCAGTAGGGTATTGTCAAATAAAACAATATTAGAAACATCCTAAAAGTGACAGCGGCCGACTAGATTTTTTCCTAAAAAAATTACAGCTGCCCACTAGATTCTTTATCTAAAAATGTTTTTTGTCCTGACATGTAATGCTTTACATTTTATTTTTTAATTTCAAATCGGTGAGTTTTATGAAAAACACAAGAGATAAAAAAGTTTCTAAATAAACTAAACTATCAAAATTATTTTTTTGCATGTGTTTGATAAGATTTTTTTAAATTTCATTAACAAGAATAATAGGGGTAGTTTATTTCAACCCCTTCCACTCATTTTAAAAAAGAAAAAATGACCAGAAAGTGTGTTTTCATAACAGTAATGCTTCCGTAAAATTTCATTAGTCTATCTCTTTTCGTTTTCAAGATAAAAAATAAAAACATTATTTTTCCGCCATCTTTTACCGCGATATCTCCCTAATGGTTGACTTTTTGACCCAACGTTTATAAAGCAAACTACCCTTTTCGCATTTGTTTTGAAACACCCTGTATATTAGTATAGATTATTGAAGTTAAAAAAAACTTTTTAGATGAGTTCAACTACGGTAGCGAGCATTGTTTTAATCACCGGTTTTGCTAGTGAGGCATATTGAGGCTAAAGGTACAAAGGTACATTATAATTCTAGAAGATGTTCATAAAACATTTAATCACTTGTTGATTAATAAAAGTATACCATTAATATTGCAAATTATATTTTATTCTCTCATAGTATATGCCTACTTAATTTTTTGATAATGTAATAAGCACTTTGTTTACTCACTTGTTTCTTCATACTGCTTGAATCCATTTTTGCTTTTGATCAAATCGGTGTTAGAAACTATGAAGCTATAAAATGTTGTTTCGAGAAAGTTTAATATTCGGGAAAGGTGAGTTATTGAATATCATTGTCTAATTACGCTCTCCTCTATGCGTTAACATTTTTTCGGCAATTTTATTAA